TAGGCGTGTCCGCGGCTCTCTCCCACGCGGGCGAGGAGCGCTAGGTCTCCGGGTGTGGGCGCCCCCCACCCCCGGGGCGGTATCTCCCCTCCCCACCTCCCCTCCCCTCCCCGGCCTGCGGAATGGGTAATGAGGCTTTTCTCCTCGGCAACAGCATCACGAGTTGCAGTTCCCAGGAGCCCTCCGCTGCTGCTGCTGCTGCTGCTGCCACGACATGAGTCAGGCTTTCTTCCTCGGCATGTGGCGGAGCCCTCCTCCTCCTCCTCCTCCTCCTCGCGGCCGCACCTGGGCTCCCCCACCTCGACCCGCACCGCCCGCGCCCCTTTCCGGGGATGCCCGGGCTGCGGATCCCCGCCCCCCCCCCCCGAACCGGCTCTCTCCCCACGCCGGTGGTATATACCTTTTGTGCAGAGCGGTGGTGGCTGCCACGCGGTCCCTCGCCCTTCGACGGGCAGGGGCGAGGCTGCCAGCAGATGTTCCAGCTGTTGGCCGGGAGTCTTCCGAGCCCCTTAAGGGGGAAGGCGCTTTCCAGAGGGAGTGGTCCTTTCTGTCCCTCTGGGTACCTGGAGGGAAGAAGCCAGCCCGCCCGCCCGGCCCACTAGCCAACAGGTGGAGCTTCTTCCAGCCATTCATTGTCCTTTTTGTGTCCGTACTGTGGCCCCCTGAGGTAAAAGGCCAGGGCTTGGTCTTACTGGAATTTGGAGGAATTTAGGGAAGAATGCTTTTTAGGGCTAGAAAAGCAAAAGGGCCTGCTGAAATTCTTCTCTCTCTCTCTCTCTCTCTCTCTCTCTCTCTTTCTCTCTCTTTTTCTCTTTTTTAAACTAAAACTACATTTCATGAATGTAAAGTAGTTAGGTTTAGGTGTGCTTGGAGGCAGTTTTCTGTTAGCTGCCTCCGAAGTATTACATGTCAAAACCCTCTAAACATTGCTTTGCTTCTAACCAAGAATGTAGATCTTACCCAGGAATTTTTTTAAGCAAAGGTGAAAAGGGTCGTTAGCTGTTTCTCTTCTAATTCAGGTTTAGGGGGATACAAATTGTTTACAAGGTAAACCTCTGACTCAGGAAATCATCCATCTAATTTTGGGAGGTTAACACCAAAAACAAAACTGTATGTTATCTTCAGTTTTTTTTTTCTTTGAGCTCGGCGCCCCTCAAGTCTATACATCAAAGGGTTGATGGCACCTATGCTGTTGACTAGAAATGCCTCACTGACCCCTTGTCTGGCCTGTAACAAACCTCACACGCGCCACTTTACCTCATACACATTGTAGGTCTCCCCACAAAATAAAAAAAGTTTCAAAAACAAAAAAGATAGGATTCACATTGTTGTTACTAGTGTGTTTGTTTTTTTTTTTAAGTGAGACAGGGTCTCGTGGAGCCGAGGGTGACCTTAAATTCACTGTACCCCTGCCTCCTGGGTTTTCCTGAGTGCTTGTAATTACAATACTTCACCCACGTGCCTACTTGCTAATGTAAAGGGCTCTGGGCTAGGTACAAAGCATGTGCTCACAAATTCTGAAAGTAATATATGGTGATAAGGCAATTTGGGGGGAAAAAAAGACTGTTTTGTGTCTTATAATTAGTATGTGAATGCCTGTATTTTCAGACAACTGAAGCCATTTGGGTATTTTACAAAAATAATCATTCCACAGAGTGTGGTGGCAAAACTTGTAACCCCGTTACTGAGGAGGTAGAGGGAGGAGGCCTTGATTTAAGTTTTTTAATCTTTTGGAGTGCACTCTCTGAATGTCCCCTGTCTTCGTGGACATAACCCCCGGCAGCTTTTGTTGCAAGTGACTCACCAGTTTCTGAAGTGGTATTGGACATGCTTTCTCAGCAATTTTTTAATAGAAAATAGAAGCTGTCCTAATGGATTGAAACTGCAAGGGGATGTAGACTGACAGAGTCTTTGGACAGTAGTGAGAAAGAAAATGTCCCTGCTATCTCAGAATGTTGCCTTCAGTCAAAGTTTTAAGTAGCAAATGGCAGTTTGTCACCCCTTGGCTTCCATAAAGCCTACTATTTATTATATTGATGATAGAGCTAAAAAGTAAAATAAAGTACATGAAAGTCTTTTGCAAAGTTGGCAAATTGGAAACCTTGTAGAAAGGGCCCTATCAGAAGCAGAGATCATTTGGATCATCCAGCAGTGGACTAGGCTCTGATTGGATTGGGAAGGGGGAATTCTTTTCAGAAGAAAGGTTTAAAAAAAAAGTCAAAGACATTTAGCTGGGTGTGATTGTGCACACCTTTAATCCCAGTGCTCAGAAGGCAGAGGCAGGCAAATCTCTGTGAGTTTACATAAGGAGTTCCAGGCCAGCCAAGGCTATATATAGTAAGACCTTGTTATTGCTATTTCTGTTACACACCTATTAAATGACATGGAGAAAAGAAAGAATGTGTTCAGTCCAGAGCTGAGATGGTATCTCATGCATATAGTCCCAGTACGAAGGGGACCAGGGGAGGGGTGCACAAGTTTAGGAACAACATGCACCACCTAGTTCATTCCAGGCTAACCTGGGTTGTTGTGTGAGGGCTCCCCCTTCCCCCCCACCACCACCCTCGACCGCAAAGAAAAGATAATTTAGTTTTTTTAAAGGCTTTACTCATGGCATGAGGATGTAGCTTCTTGGTAGAGCACTCCTGTACCATACAGAAAGCCCTGGATTCAATCCCCAACACCACAGATACAAAGATTAACAACAAAGGCGTTAATCAAATAGCCCTCCAGATCTCACCAATAATAATAGCTCATGCTTATTGCTCAATATAACTACACCATTGTTCTCTGTGTTAAGAGTTTTAGCTCACTTAATACCCACAACTGTATAAAGTAGGAGCTATAATTGTCCCCATCTGACAAATGAGGAAAGCGAGGTTCAGAGAAGTTGTGGTCTTAGAGCTTGGCTAGTAGCCAGGCCAAGATGAAAACCCTGGCCAGCTACCACCTTGTCATAACCTACCACCAACACATAATTCAGGATCCTCTCAACTCAAGCACCCAAGCTCAATTTCTACTGAAGACATATTTGAATTTTTCTAACTAGACATCTAGTTAGCAAAGAATCTACAAGCAGTGTTTTCTCCTTGTGCAGAGGTATTCCAGGAAAGGATGTATACTGTAGGGACCTGCCATGGCCACATAGGAATTATTCGGGCATACACGAGCAGAACAGTAATTTGATTAAGTTGAATGATGCTTTTCTGATCAAAACAGATGCCAAATGCATGGAAGAAAGATGTTAGCCATACATAAGTAAAAAATATTTTCTGTATAGGACAAGATAAATGCCTTTTTATCTGAGCACTTAGCATTCTGATGCTCATAAAAGCCTGTAGAAAAAAGCATAATCTGGTCTTCCTAACGTGTTCTTTGAAAGGACCCATCTATATTTGTGTGTCTTTTTGACTACAGAAAACATTACTACATCTAACTACTACAAGCACTGTACTTGCTTGTATCCTGATGCCCAGTATGAACAAAAAGTGGGTCCAAGCACCACAAATAATCCAAAGCATTACCATAATCATCTTCTCAAACACCAAAGTTCATCATCAGTCTCGACTCTCAAGAATGGATGTTGCCAGGCATGGTGGCACATGCCTTTGATCCCAGCGCTTGGGAGGCAGAGGCGGGTGGATCTCTGTGAGTTTGAGTTCAGCCTGGTCCAGGACAGCCAGCGCTACACAGTGAGACCCTATCTCCAAGAAGGGGGTGGGGAGGAAGAGCCAGGGGAAGAGGAAGAAGATGATGTTATTTAAAATTACCTTTTGGTTACTCATTTTCTCCTCTGCTCTAACTTAACTTTCAGTGGGGAAAAAATTGGTGAGATGGTTTTAAGTAGCATATTCAAATTATCATTTTTATTTAATTTTCTTGTAGAAGAAAAACAGAAAGGCAGTAGCCTTGAGGGCCAGAATAGTTTGTTTGTTTGAATACCATCAAAAAGCAAAGAAAATCTTAAACCAAGCATTAGTGGCTCACACCTGTAACCCTAGTATTCTGGAAACTGAGGTAGGAGAGTCACTAAGAGTTTGAGACCTGGCCACACAGTTCCCAGGCCAGCTGAGGTGACAGAGTAAGTAAGGCCCTGTCTCAAAAAGAAAAACAGGGTGGGCAGAACAGCCAAGCAACATGGCTTGGAGGCCAAAGGCACTTACTGCAAGCCTGAGGACCTGAGTTTGATCTCCAAAGTTCACATCCGATGGAAAGAGAGAACCAACTCCTGCAAGTTGTCCTCTC